GACAGAAAAAACAGTGTAAATTATTATTTTTCTTTTAAATTTTGTTAACCTTTATCTTAACCAGGAGAAGTCTGAGTCTGAGTGAGATTTAAAAACCTTGTTACAGGAGAAAGTCATTCCAAACTGACAGAGAGATAACCCCGGAGTTTTCTTCCTATTTCAGCGAGACTGTTGTTTGCACGTCATCCAAGAGATCAAAAAGGCTGGAAATGGAGGTTATACTCCCCTCAGTCATCGATTGTTTTAATGTTTAAATCAACAACTGATTAATTATCAGTTAGACAATATGTGACATAAAGTGCACTAAGTCGTACAGTTTGCAGACTAATGTAACGAATATCAAATAACATAACCACGATTATATTGTGATGGACATGAGGTTTAGCTAAAGCTGTACTGTGTGCTATTTCAAATGTGTAGATGTGTGTTTGGGTCGTAATGTCATGTGTGTGTGTGTTTGTTGGAGTGTTGTGTGTGGTTGTTGTGTGTGCTGATGGACAAAGAACGAGTCTGTTACTACACGCAGGTGACAGCAGCTCATCAGAGAAGGCCTCCCGTATTAACAATCCACTGACAGATTGTACAGGCGTGTACATTGGACTCATTAGGTCATTTGAGAGAGGCGCCTCCTCATACATTCAACAGATTTTACAGCCGGTGTTGGACCTATAGGCTCTTTTGGACCCGCACCCCTCACACCCCCCCACTTCTCTTCTTGCGCTCTGACTTGAGCTGACCATCTTTATCTCTAGGTCACAGCACTTTCCACACGAATCAGAGGACAAAGAGCGTCTCAGACTGACGGACAGTTTCACTAACTTCGTGTCCACAAAGTCTCATAGTGGTCCTCTGAGGTCCTGCTGGACCTGGTCCGTGCGGACCTGAACCTCCTGCAGCCTGGTCCTGCTGGACCCTGCTGCACTCAGAGTCCTGCAGAGACCTCCTGTGGTCAGTCTTTGGTCTGTTATGTCAGTTTGGTGGGTGGCTCTAAAGACTACATTACCCAAGAGCCTCAGCTGCTGCATGATTAAAGAATTCAGCACAAACTGATCCAGAATCTGACAGTAACCTGATCTACAATACTGAATTTGAAGCTCCTGCTGAAATGAACCCTGGGAGTTGTAGTTCTTCTTGACCCAGTTGTTAATGTTTAGTTCTGGTGACTGAAGCTGAACAGTCTGACCTTCTGACCCTGAGTGAAGCGGCCTTATGTAAAGCTACAGGTTGAACCACGTCAGTCACAGCGAGCGGCGTCACTTCCTCTGACTCGGCGCTCCAGATGAAAAACTGACCCACAAACGGAGCTGCTGGGCCTCTCCACGAAATCCCATTGAGTCCGGGACAAAGGCTCTAACTGATAGTCTGCCCAGGAGCCAAACACACAGCAGCCTGAAACACGGCAGCTGGTCGAGTTTCACTGCAAACAAAGCAAATCCTACGAGCACATGAGCTGTGAGCTGTGACCAACCTGCACACGACGACTGCAGTTTCAGTGTCGGCGTCACAAACCAACTCTTCAGACGGGACTCTGAATGTTTTAGGTTTTACACATGGACCCGGTCCAGGTCTGACTTCAGCGAACGTCTCAAACGTTCGGGTGATTTTCTCCCCCGGTCTGAACAATGTGGCCCCAGCCAGGCAGAAAAAAAGAGTAAAACAGTGGAGAAATGCCGCGCACACACAACACATCCCCTCACCACAAGAGCTGCATTGTATTTGGTACCTGATGCATTAATCATTCCAGTTGAACCGAGTCCAGCGCTGCGTTCCAGCGTGGATTTGGAGAACCAGTTTCCCTCTGCAGCGCTACGACAGACTGAACCTGATCCACACTGACTTTACTCCACCACGAACATCCCAGGCTCACTCTCTATCTCCAACTGAACTCTTTATCACCAGTTTCAAATTCAAATCTGAAGGGTTATGCTTTTATTTTCTGTCGTCATGGCAGCCGATTGTGTTTCAACACAGTCAGACTCCAAACCAGAGTCAGTAAAGACCAGCAACAACAAAACCAGACCACAAACAGACCAGAGGCCTGTTACTGAGCCGAGCTGTAAAGAAGCTCCTCAGTGAACTGCAGTAATCTGCAGTAAACTGTAGTAATCTGCAGTAAACTGTAGTACTCTGTAGTAAACTGTAGTAAACTGAAGTAAATTGCAGTAATCTGTAGTAATCTGTAGTACTCTGTAGTAAACTGTAGTAAACTGAAGTAAACTGCCATAATCTGTAGTAATCTGTAGTAATCTGCAGTAAACTGTAGTACTCTGTAGTAATCTGTAGTACTCTGTAGTACTCTGTAGTAAACTGTAGTAAACTGAAGTAAACTGCCATAATCTGTAGTAATCTGTAGTAATCTGCAGTAAACTGTAGTAAACTGAAGTAAACTGCAGTAATCTGTAGTAAACTGTAGTAAACTGTAGTAATCTGTAGTAATATGTATTAATCTGTAGTAAACCGCATTAAACTTTAGTAATCTGCAGTAAACTGTAGTACTCTGTAGTAAACTGTAGTAATCTGTAGTAATCTGTAGTAAACTGTAGTAAACTGAAGTAAACTGCAGTAATCTGTAGTAAACTGTAGTAATCTGTAGTAAACCGCAGTAAACTGCAGTGAACTGTAGTAAACCGTAGTAATCTGTAGTAATCTGCAGTAAATTTTAGTAATCTGTAGTAATCTGCAGTAAACCTTAGTAAACTGTAGTAATCTGTAGTAATCTGTAGTAAACCACAGTAAACTGCAGTGAACTGTAGTAAACCGCAGTAAACTGTAGTAATCTGTAGTAAACCATAGTAAATTGTAGTAAACTGTGTTAACCCGTAATAAACCGCAGTAAACCACAGTAAATTGTGGTAAACTGTGGTAAACTCTTTCCCTGCTGTTAAAATGTCTCACAGTGAATCTGGAAACATGTTTTTCTTCCACTTCAACTCACACTAGAGTTTTTCTAAAAGTCGTCATCATCAATTAGTCGTCTCAAACTTTCTCTGTAATCGCATGTTGAACATTGATATATCTGATCAAAGCTGTTGTCCTGAACCTGGTTAAGCTGATTTCGATGATAAAATACAGATGTTATCAGCAGCTGTCCGTCTCCTCACCAGATGTTACTTTGACGCAGTTTTGTTAGTTAACTGAAGAAGAAAACATCTGTTTTTTTTTGGTTTTTTTTACTAAAACCACCTGAAACACTGATGAGGACACACATTGTTTTCATATGAAAACACAGTTTTAAGATTCAGACAGAGTTATGTAGATGCAGCACAATGGGAACATGAACTCCTGCTTCTTGTGAGGTTTTTGTGAAGGATCAACTTTCAGTGTTTGCACATGTAAACATCACATTCTGATTTCAGACACCTGAATCAGCCTTTATCCTGCTGCTGCTGATTACCTGCACAGGTGCAGCTTCAGACAGGTGGTGCAGCGGAAACACCAACGACTGAGTCTCACTCACTGTCAGAAACAGTTAAATAAACTTGGTAAGTCTGTAGACTAGTTAGCATCACTATGAATGGGTGTAAACACTGTGCCACAGTCAGATCATTTAATAGTTACAGGAAACTGTCAGTGTGTGTCGGTATAGATCAGAGAGGTCTGCACAAACAGCAGTGACCAGTAACAAGGTGTCATCAGGTACATGGGCTCCTGCAGAACCAGATCTCTCTGTGGTCCATGACCACCTCAGATCTCCAATATGTCTGTATCCAAGCCAGGACGGCGTTATCCCCATATTTAAACAGATCACACCCCCACCCTCCCTCTGAGACAGCCTGCACCCTCCAGTGTGGACACACCACTTCTTCTCTCGCAAAAAAACAGCCCTCACGCCGTCCACATACGTCCCAGCTGGGCAGCAAACATGTAAATGAAACAGCGTTTCCCTCCCTCATGTATCAGTATATCTGGCGTGCTGCTGCTGCAAAAACAAAACAGCTGCCGCGGCAACAATGAGCCTTTGTGACACACACGCAACCGAACACAACAACACAGAACAGGAACGTATGCAACCCATTTTATGCATCAGTGAAGGAGCCTCAGTTTGTGTAGCAGTCATGCTAATGAGATAGAGCACACACGCACACACACGCACACACACACACACACACACACACTGACAGCGGGGGATGTGACTGATTAAATCAGAATCTGGTGTAGTTATTTGTACAAGAGTGTGATCACAGCTTTGTTCAACACTTCACCTCATCCTGCCAACTGTGTTAGAGCCAGGCATGATCGACAGCATTCAACACACACACACACACACACACACACACACCCACACACACACACACTACACCAGGTTTCCAGCTGTGAGTGTGTCCACACACACACCCTCAGCCTCTTCCCTCCTCTGTTCTCACTACAACAGTTTCCGACCTCCCGTGTGTCAGTGTGTTCAACCTGCAGCCAGCTCAGTGAAGGTCAGAGGTCATGAGGCAGTAAAGTTCAGAGGTCAACCTTCAGTCACCTCCAACTTTAACTGTGAGCTGCTGTTAATAAACTGGACTTGTATTGATTTTATCAGACGATGTTGTGATTATAAGAAACAAGCGCTTTAGCTCCGTATCACAATCGATCTCTGTCCACACTAACACACATCACATGACCATTCACCTACACTGAGCATGTGCAAGCCGGTGTAAACAGGAAGTAGATTGTCTCCTCTGCAGTTGTAGCATTAAAACAAAGAATTTAAGTGAACAGCAGCTGCTACAAAGACAACAAGGTCAGTAACTCTGTCATTCATCATCATGTTGTATTCACCACCGGTAGTCCAGGCTGATGACAGCCAATCAGGAGAGACCGTGGCTGTGACCTCATCGTTTACAGAGGTCTTTTTCTGTCCAGACCACAACACAACTCAGAGTTTTCAAAATAAAACACAAACCCAGGGTTTTCAAAATAAAACACCATCCCACAGTTTTCAAAATAACACAGGAGTTTCTGAGAGTAAACATAGAAGAAAAGATGAATTTTAAAACTAAAAACTCTGAGTCTGTTACTCTGCAGTCAAGAAGAAACTTTTCCTGTAACTGAAGACACAGCTGAACCGCTTCTTCGACCTGATTTATTGTCTTTCTGTCAGACGACGTCTCGACCATGAAATACAGATGTTATCAGCTGTCTGTCTGTCCCCTCACCAGATGTTGCTGTGACACAGTGCAGTTGTTTTAACTGAAAAGACTTTCATGTTGTTCAGGTGTCTGACCGTGGACGGAGCTCTCCGACTGGTTCACCTGGTCAGTGAGTGAACATGGAGTCAGGTGAGCTGAAGCACAAACTTCCTGTTGTTGACCAAGATAAATAAAGACCTGATGTGGGACTTTTACAGTGTCTTGTTGTCGCTTCAGTTTCTCTCTGAAAGGACAGAGTGAAGGTCGCGGCTCAGAGTTTCAGTCTTTACATGATCAGGCGGCAGTTTCACTCTCATAACCTGGTTTTGTGTTTGTGACTCAAACACAAACAACTCCGACACAAATGGGAGAAAAACAAGAGTACAGTTCAGAATAAAGTATCAGAGTGAAACCAGCGACCGGCTCGGTGCCACTTTTATCTCTGATACGGAGCTGGATCAAACACCGAAGAGGGAAGAGTTTCCATGAATAGAAACCCAAGAGAGAAGAGAAAGAAAGACAGCGAGGGAGAGAAAGAGAGGGAGAGGGAGAGGGAGAGAGAGAGAGACCCAAATTTAAATAAAACTAATGAATACATTACAGGCCTCTTTTATCTGAGTCCTAATGGATTTACATCCTAATCCAACGCCTCTCTGGAGCCTGACACTGGAAACATGGAGGGAGGAAACATGGTGATGAAGGACAGGGAGAGTGTGTGTGTGTGTGTGTGTGTGTGTGTGTGTGTGTGTGTGTGTGTGTGTGTGTGTGTGTGTGTACAGTGTGACCTTCAGCAGCAGATGAGGTCCAGCAGGTGGAACAGGGTCTGAAATAAACATCACCTCCTGCCTGCTCTCTGGGACACAGAGTGGCAGAGGTTGTCTGACAGAGCGACAGCAGCCTGGAGACGACGCTGGACACTCCACCACAAACACTGGTTTCTACGGGACAGCGGAGGTTACTGTACGCTCACATCCAAAACTGCCAGGTGGAGGTGGACGCTCTGATCAAGTTTGTTCAGAAGTCTTGAAACTTTATTTAAAGGGCACAAAGTCGACCGGTATCTTCACACTAAACTCAGTGTGTCAGCTGATCATCTCTGGTGTTGTTGCTGCTGTTCTCTGTTCGCTCTCAGCTTCAGCTCATCAGCGTGTGAAGCTCTTCGACCTGCACTGACCTCCTGTAGTCACAAAATATCACCTCAGCAGCTCACCTGTCACACCTGTCACACACGTCACACACCTCTGTCCAGGCTTTGTCTTTTTTAAGGATCTAAACAAACAGGTCGTAAAGGAGGGAACAATGAGCAGTCCGTCCTCCGTTGTGTTTGGGAACTTAAGTTTACAGCTTGTGCTGTGGAGCACTTCTACATTCAGATTGGTTGAACAGCGTCATACCTCATTAACATAACGTTTTCAACATTTTCCTTTCGCCCAAGACGCACCACCAACGGGCGCGCTGCTGCTCGCCGCCAGGAGACGCCGGCTCACACAGACAATGATGATGTTTGGTTTCATCAAATTTAAACCAAAGTTTGAGAAGAATCAGCAAAAGACAAAGCGTCAACGAACGTCTCCATCGTGGAGACAAACAGCTGGTGGAGCCGAGCCTCCATTAAACCACAGAAGAAGAAGAAGGTCATTAAAACCATGTGGAAAACATGATGAAGATCTGATGTTTCTGTTGGTTTCATGTGAAGAAGGTTCAGCCTCCTCCTCCTCATCTGATGTTTTTGACTGTTTGTGATTCTTGGTAAAATGTGTGTGTGTGTGTTGGTTTATCTGAACCCTCCTCCTGCAGATTCCCTCTCTATCTCCAGCTGATACAAGACATTCCTCAGCTGCCGACAACGAGCTCCTCCTCTCCCCCTCGTCTCCCCTTGTCCTTCCTCGCCTCCCCCCCTCGTCTCCCCCTCATCCTCCCTCGTCTCCCCTTGTCCTTCCTCGCCTCCCCCCCTCGTCCTCCACACTGACGCTGTTGTTCAGTTTCCAGGAGGATCCTGGAGGAGCAGCTCAGCCCTGCAACCCAATCTGATCCAGGACGAGCAACAAACACACCCTCCTCGCCCTCGCCCTCCTCCTCGCCCTCCTCCTCCTCGCCCTCGCCCTCCTCCTCCTCCTCCTCGGCAGGAGTCGGAGCCTTGAGGTGCGTTCAGCTGCAGCCGTGTGTTCACACTGATCATGCGGATGTTTGATGTGCAAACACAAACTGAGATCCTGAGAGTTTCAGGCCGATAACGCGACTTTCTAGGAAACAAACTCCTTCCTCTGAACCGAGGCTGCAGCTGCCGATCAATTTCACTATTGATAAACCTGCTGAACATCGATCGATCACTCAGTTTACTACATGTCATCCAAAACCCAGAGAAGTTCAGTTACTGAGGCAGAAAACAGAGAAATTCTTCATGTTGGAGAAACTGGAAATTTACAATGAATCAACTCCAAAGTATTTGTCTCCATCAATGAATCTATATTTTCAACTCTTCTCATCGACCTGTGGCGGGAAAACTTAATCTGTGTCTGTAGCTCTGACAGCTAGAGCACGCTGTGACCCAGAGGTCATCAGTGGCCGTCGTCAGGTTCCCGCCTCATTCCTCAGACCTGTACACTCTTATAACTAACGATGCTTTTCTAACCGACGACCTCTGACCTCCTCCTGCACCTGGAAACACCTGGACTCTGGGACTCACCCTCGTTCTGGATCCAGGGCGATGGCTCTGGGCTGGTCCAGCTCCTGCCAGAACAGAACCTTCCTCAGAGCGCCGTCCAGCTCCGCCACCTCGATCCGATTGGTTTCTGAGTCCGTCCAGTAAAGTTTCCTCCCTAACCAATCGCAGGCCAGTCCGTCCGGGGAGGCCAGACCCGGGACCACCGTCTGGACCGTGCTGGCCCCGGACTGGTTGAAGACGGTGCGTTTGATGGCCTCCTCGCTCACGTCGCTCCAGTAGATGAGGCCCTGGGAGTAGACGTAGTCCACGGCGGCGGCGTCCTCCAGCCCTCCCACCACGACCGTGGCGTTGGCCTTTTCGTGCGCCGCATCCACGAGCCGAAGGTCCCGCCGGTTCGCGTACAGCAGCAGCGGCACGCCTGCAACGGGTGGGAGGAGACACGAGGTTCAAAACACACATTTAACAGCGACCTCCACCAGGTCAATGAGACCATGCGACACAATCAAAAGCTCCGGAACAAGCGAGTAAGAGGACCTTGAGTAGAGACTGAGATCCTCTAACTGTGAGTAAGACTTGATCTATGTGGAATATGAAATTATTTTGAGTTTATGTTGTTTAAATTCAGATATTGATCAAAGTGTTTCGTCTTTGTCGGTTCTAGAACAGAAAGTCCAGTGACCGAAAATAACTATTTATAACTACCTGTCCGTTACCTGTCCGTTACCTGTCTGTTACCTGTCTGTTACCTGTCCGTTACCTGTCTGTTACCTGTCCGGTACCTGTCCGTTACCTGTCTGTTAACTCTTCATTACAGCTCTTTATATTTATATTTCTAGATGCTTACTGTTGTCGTGTGTCGTTGTTAATAAAGACAAAAGCATCAGGACACAAACAAAGAGCTGATCCTGGGTCTGTTGTTGGGAACACAGATCAGTTCCTGATGTTGGTGTCTGATGAAGTTCAACTGAACCTGGATCAGTGGCTCAGGACTCTGCTGGATCCTGGACCTGGTTCTAAACCAGAATCTGACACATCCAGAGCTACAAGCCCCCGATGGATCAGAGGGGAGGTCACCGCCCCCCACCCCACCCCACCCCACCACCAACATGTTTTCACTTCACTTGGTGGGGGGGGTGGGGGGGTGGGGGGGCTTTCCTTCTCTAAATATTTACTGAATCACAAACTGAAAACCTCAGACTCCTCAACCGCCTGGAACGACCTGAGTCTGAGGACGTGAGTCTGACTCTGCTTGGAGGAAAGACCTGGACCTGGTTATCAGGACACTTTCAATATAAACATGTTACTGTTGCAATTAAGGCCAAAACATCATCAATTAACCTGCTGATCACTGTGTCAAATTAATTGATTGTTTGTTTGATAAAATGTCAGAAAACAGTGAAAAAGGTCCAGAGTCAAACGTCTGGTTTTGTCCGTTAAGATTCTGTTTATAATCAAATCAGACTGAAGATCAATTGATTATCAGAATTGTTGCAGTTTCATTTCCTATCAATGGACTAATCACATAATCATTTCCATTCTCGTTATAGAGTCAATCTGACGCTGATTAATGAACATCTGCTTTCTATCACAGTGAACTGAACATCTTTGACTTTTGCACAAAACAAGATATTTTTACATTATTTTTTATTTTATGGAGAAAACAACTTATTGATGAACTGAGAAATTTATCTGCAGATTAATAAATAATGAAAATACGTTTGTACGTTTTTCTAACGAGGATTAAATTCGTTTTCATCCTAATTTTTATTTACATATCAGGTCTGTGTGATCAGAGTCAGAGATCCATTAATCAATTACCTGACCGCCTGCTACTTACTCCTTTATGTCATTTTCAATCATAGATGTCAAAATAAAAGTCTGTTTTCAGCCTCACAAACATGATTATTTTCTGATTTTCTCTGGTTTAAATCTTTATAAACTGAATGTCTTTGGGTTTTTGGACAAAACGAGACATTTGAGGACATCCGTTGATACTGTTTAAAAACATTATGACTTTTATCTTTCATAAAACTTAAAGGATTTGGAGCCAGCGAGTTATCATGGATTTAATCTGTAACATTTGATCATCAATTACTTGTTTATGTCATTATTCAAGAATAAATGTCAAAATGAAAGTCTCACAAACATGAATATTTTCTCTGGTTTAAATCTTTATAAACTGAATCTCTTCGGGTTTTTGGACAAAACGAGACACTTGAGGAAATCACCTGAGGAATGTTTGTCACTATTTTATAACATATTATTGACACTAATCACCAGATTCAATCAATAAAGAAAATAATTGTTAGTTTCAGTCCAACATAGATAATTGAAATGAAGGTGTACCAACAGAAAACAGCTTCTGATTTACTTATAACTGATTCTAAATCACAGTGAATTTACAGTTGCACATCAACAGGATTGTGGGTTTATCTGATTGTTTGTTTCAGCCTGACTTCAGACCTGTCACTTTAACATGGACTACAGTGGAAATGAGGTTTTGTCTTTATTGTTTTCTTGCTGTAGATCAGCTCGTTTATCATGTGTCTCCATCTACAGTATCACAGACAAAGAGTGTTGATATAAACTGGTCCTGAGCAGTAACAGTGTGAGCTGACTGCAGGTCAACACACATTTATGTAGTTAAATGTGAATTAAACAGCAGGTTTCATGTTATTACTCAGGTGCTGCTTTGTGCTCAGTCACTAGCTTACGTAGCATCTGTTGTGCTAACTGCTGCTCTTCCCTCAATCTAACGTTTCAGCCTGTTTAAGTTACTAAACCCAAAGTTAGCCGGTTAGCAGCCGCTGGGAACTCGGTGAAAATAACAACCCGGGGCTGAAAACACAGGCCCGGAGGAGGCTGGACGAGCAGCGGGGTATTTTTCCAGCTAACTTGGCTAACGCTGGCTGTTTGTGGTTTCATTCTCCTGGAGCTCCGGCAGCAAACAGGCAGGGAAGCACGCAGAGCTTGGCTGGCTAACGTTAGCTCCGCTCAGGAGAACCAAAACCCCGGAGAGTGGGCCCTGGCCCGGACACAGCTCCGAATACCCGCCGCTAAAGCTGCTTTTCCCGACTGTTAACATCACTTTTACACGTCGACACGCCACACACGGAGGGAACCCGAAGCTAAAAGGCCGATTTAAACACAAACTCACCTCGTATGAGAAAACAAAAACTACACAACAACAGACTCCGCAGCACGACACCCATCTTTCTCCCGTTTCTTGGCCCTGCCGCCGCTCTCTCCTCAGCGCCGTACTCCCATCGCTGCGGCCGCGTCCTCGGGCGAAAAAATGCGGATTTAAGAACAATATTCTGGTTGTGGTTCAGCTGCGGTGCGACTTAAATGATCCCCGCTTCCATCCCGGCTGGCTGGCTGCTTGCTAACTGCGTTGGATCAACTCTCGGTGTCTCACATTGTCCTGCAGGAGATCCGTCGTCTCCTTCCGCTGTGAGGAAGCTGCTCCCCCCGCCTCCTCCTCCTCCTCCTCCTCCTCCTCCTCCTGCTCCACTCCTCCTCCACCACCTCCTCCTCCTCCACCTCGCTCCTCGGTTCCGCTGTTTTCTATTGTTGTTCTGATTTCATGCTCTCAAGCCAAAGATAATGTTACAACACGCAAAACGCCCAAAAGCTGCCCACACGGTGAACTGCTGCCGGACGAGGAGGAAACACGTCCCGGGTCCCGGAGGAGGGAACCGGTGTGTTGTGGTGCAGCAGGAGCCGAAGTTCAGTTTCTACACTCACATTCCTGCGGGACTAGTTTATCACAGTCAGAGTTTACAACAGCAGCAGAGTCACACACACGCGCACACACACACGCACACACAGCAGGAGACACTACAACACGTTTCACACCTTTCACTCTCAGTGTGCGGCAGAAACACAAGACTGACACAAACAAACTTCACCCCACAAAAAAGACAAGAGAGAAAAACTGTGATTACAAAAGTCTGAATCCTGAGGATAAAGTCAGACTTCACTTCAAACATGAGAAGCTGGAGGAAATCCACATTCTCTAACACTCCTCTGATACTGGTAGAAAACAAACCAGAAAACATCTGGATTGATGTTAACTTTTAAAGAGAACAATAAAAAAAAACAGGATTAAGGGATTAAATTCTGAATTTTGATTAAAAATCTAACAATAAAATTGTTTGATTTAAGTGATTCATCTGAGAATTTTGAGGAAAAAAACAAGGTAAATCAACATTTAAGAAATTTAAGAAAAATCACTGAAGCTAAAATTGTAGATTACAGTTCAAAATTCCACAATCTGGAATATAACATATAATATATTTAGACAGAGATCAAAAAAGAAAAAAAAGCATAATGTATTCTGGATTGATGATCATTTTTTGAGAGAACAATAAAAAGGATGGAGGGATTCAATTCAGAACTTTGATCAAAACAACAAACTAAAATAATCTGACAATAAAATCCGTTTTAAGTGATTAATCTGAGAATTTCAAGATAAAAGTCTAAATTCTGAGGCAAAACAACGTAAATCAAAATTTAAGATAAAAAAAATGATTTAATGAAAATATATGTGCCACTGAGTAATGTTTGAAAAATACTCAATTAAATTTGTATATTAGTTAAAATGTTGATGAAAACTCAGAATACTGATGTTAAAAGGAAAATAACAAATTTCCTTTTTTCGATCAAAATTCGATCAAAATAGATTCAATTTCTAGACAAATTTAATCTATTTTTTTCACAGAAATTTGATATTAATGTCAAAACTGAAATATTTTCTCTTCACATCGTCCCTAATCAATATACTTCACAGGTGAATGAAGCCGACATGACAGAGTTCTTAGTTGTACTCTGCATTTTTACATCTTTAAAACTTGATTTAAATGTTTCTTTCATAGATTAAATCCATGATAAATCACTGTCTTTTCTCCATAAGTGATTTAAACAATAACAAAGCCTTGTTTTTTTCAGAAGATCATAATTTACACCCTTTTCATGGAATCAGCACATTCATGCAGCTGATGATAATTTACTGTCGTCACAAACTAAATCCCAGCGTTTATTTTTAGCTTTTTTCCCGCTCTTCATAAATTTGTTTTCATCACAAAACACAGAATCAAAGACGACACACTTTCAAAAATCACATTTTTTTTTAATCCTTACAAGAACAAAACATCAAATTCCAAACTTATGCAAAAGCATCACTTCACAAAACGAGACCAAACTATCACCATCCATGGAGTTAATCAGACAGAGTAAAAACCAAAGCAAGAGAAGTGAAAACAAGTCGACAGTGCAGCTTCAGGCGTCTTCAGTTCAGTGTCTGCAGGAAGTTCATCAGGCTGCTGCTGCCACCTGGTGGTCAACTGATGCTGCAGCAAGGTCCTTCCATCTGCCCCCCCCCCCACCACCCCCAACCCCCCATATACACTGACATCCAATACAAATGTAGTTATTATAGGAAAATAGTGCGCAGCCAGTGTACTCTTACCTATGAAAAACAATCTAATATTGAAAAAGAAGCAGATCACATTTATCAAAAACCGCAGGATACAGTAGTGCATCGATTCTCAGAGGATTGCATCAATCGTTTATATTTTTATCGTAAGTGAAACAAGAGAAACGTGGAGAAAATACAAAATCAACACAGTGAGAGTGAGTCCGACATCTAGACTGAGTTGGTGATTTAAGAAGCAATCACAGGCTCGTATGGCTGAAGCATGTGGAAGTAAAAAGACATGCAGGTGTACGTCTTATACACAAAGAGTCGGCAACCCCCCCCCATGGCGAAAAGGCCTCGACACCAGACGGCCCAATGTACAGATCTGTGTCCGCTCATACAGTCCAGCTCTGCTCCACGGGAACTCTCCAGAGGCTTCCTGAGTTTCGGGGAATAAAAATATTGCTGTTGGTTCTTTGTTTTTCCGTCGCCAGCTGAAGTTTCTACAGTCAACAGGACAAGAAGAAGAAATGATGCGCAGGAGGTCGTTTCACCAGGTGAGGACAGGTAGGTCTGTTCTCAGCTTTGAAGCAGAACAAGTGAAAGGCAGGAATAAACGTCAGTGAGTGAAACCAAAGAGTCAGAATTATGAGAAAAGCCTAAATGTTGAGGATCGAGTCAGACTTCAGTCTCTGAAAGATGATTCTTTTTTTAGTAAAAGTAAAGTAAGTTGATTTTAGGTTCAGAGAATTTTAAATATTCTATGAAGTAAAAGAGATGATTAAAATGAAAACAATCCTGTCATGTCCTGGACACAAGATAAAAATATAATTCAGAGAAGAAGTAAGTTCTCTGAAAAAGATTATGGTTAAAACTGAGGAAAAAATCAAAAGTCTGAGGATAAAGTTTATTAAAGTCAAAATTCTTATCGACTAAATTATTGAGAAATGTTAATATTGAAAAGAAAAGTAAATATTTTATAGACTAGAAATCCAGAAAGAAAAAAAAATCCTGATTTGTGGACACAAAATAAAAAAATCTAATCTCTCGGGACCTTTGAGCCTCGTACAAACAGGGAGGAGGAAAAATCATCTGAGAAAACGTCAGAAGTCTGAGAAGCTGAAATCTGAAGAATAAACTCTGATCAAGGTTTCATTTGTTTTCACACAGAAATAAAAGTCGGTTTTCACCTCAGACAGTCAGAATCATGAGGAAATCATGATTCTGTGGATTTAGTCAAATGAAAATGAGTTTCCATCAGTCACTCATCAGACATGACGAGACTTGTTGAGAATAAGAGTGGGTGATGTGACGACTGAACATGATATAAACCATTATATTCATTAGTCAACCATCACAGCTGTTGCCATCATGTTGATACTGTTCTTTCTTTAATGATGTATTTGGATTTCTCTGGTCTTTCATTTGCTGGAGCAGGAAAACCAGGTAAATTCACCGTCATAAACACACGGAGCTTCTGTATTAAATATCATGTTCATGAGCAACAAGGAATCTCAATAATAACTGATCACTTTGTGTGATGGAGGATTTTTATTCATATCACCCACTCCTATTCTAAATAAATGACTGCACAGGTCAAAGGTCAAAGTCTTGTTCACTCATATTTTAGGCTGATAAACGTAATAAACTGAAGAGCTGTGTGGTTACGTCTGACCAATCAGAATCCAGTATTCTCTGTGGTCACGGTTCAACGCCTCTTTAACAGAGTGAAGCCGACATTCGATTATTGTGTAACTCAAGAGACGAACATGATAATTGTCCCTCTGAGCTTCCGTCCTGAAAGTCAAAGTCCGTCCTCACACCTCGTAGTGCAGGTCGTTCAGCTCCAGTCTCGTGTAATGGCGTCTGTCGAAGGACTCCATCGCCTTACGTCCGCCCACGGCCAGGGCCAGCGTGAGCACGGCGAGCCCCAGCACCATGAACGCCACCACGCCGCTCTTCACCGCCCCCCGAGCGGCTACCGCCTTCCCCCGGCCGACACTCGAGTTCTGGAGGGCGTGGTCGGACTGGAGGACGCCTTTGGGGACGATGACCAAACTCGCTGCGGGAGTCGTCCTCACGGTGGACGGCTCAGTGGTGGTGGTGGTTGTAGTGGTGGTGGTGGGAGGAGGAGGAGGGGCAGTAGTAGTAGGAACGGTTATAGGGGGAGGGGTGGAGGGGGAGGTGGTGGTTTTAGGAGCGGTCGTGGTCGTGGTCGTGGTCGTGGTCGTGGTCGTGGTGGGAACAGTGGTGGTTGTAGCGGCTGTGGTGGGTTCAGTACTCGGCTGTGGTTTGTCAGTAGTTCTATGTTCAGCCTCTTTTCCCGCCATTACAACAGGAAGTGATGTCGTGGGGCTGAGCGTGGGCGGGAAGGTGGCGGTGGCGGTGGCAGCAGTCGTGGTGGTGGTGCTGACAGGATGTGGTTTTCCTTTCTTGGAAGTTTTGTTTTGCTTCTTGCTGGGTTTGTTTGTCTTCTTCGTGGTGATGGAGGTGATGGTGGGAGCTGTTGTTGTCGTTGTTGTTGTTGTTGTTGTTTCTGTTGTTGTTGTTGTTGCTGCTGCTGTAGTTGTTGGTGCTGCTGTTGTTGTGGTGGTGGCGGGTGATGGTGTTATTGCAGGCATCGTGGCGATGATGATGATGGGTGGAGGTGCTGTCGTGGTGGCTGGAGCATGTGTGGTTGTGGTTGGCGGTGAGGTTGTGGTTGTTGTGGTGGTGGTGGTGGTGGTGGTGGTGGGCTGTGTGGTGGTGGTGGTGGTGGTGGTTGTGGTTGGTGGTGGTGGTGGTGGTGGTGTTGTTGTTGTACTCTGTGTGGTGGTTGTGGTTGTAGTGGTGGTTGCAGGTGTGGTTGGTGCCAGAGTGGTGGTGGAGATGGTTTCTTTTGTGGTTGTCGTGGTGACAGGTCTCACTGTGGTTGGATGAATCAACCCTGCACAAGACAGAAGACAGATTTAAGAAAAACTGAACTACTGACTGAATGACTAACTAACTAACTAACTAACTAAAAGACTAACTAACTATCTTACCAACCAACTAACTGACTGACTAACTACTACATAACTATCTAACTGACTAACTAATTAATTGACCAACTAACTGACTGACTGAATAACTACTAACTGACCAATTTACTAACTAATTGACCAACTAACTAGCTGACCAACAAAGTAACTGACTAACTAACTAACTAAAAACCATCTCAGTGTACTTTAACATCTCCTCTCTCAGGAGCTCTAGTAACGACAGGTCGGTGAGCCAATCAGAAGAGAGGAGGCTCTGAGCCTCTCAGCCAATCAGGAGAGAGGCTGTGGGTGTGTACCTTTGTAGATGTCGTAGGTGTTGGTGCCGTCCGGAGCCTTCATCAGAGGACAGTCCTGCTCCGTGGGACAGTGGAACAGGAGGCAGTTGTCCTCGCTGCTGCGTCTGTTGGCGGTGAAGACGGCCATGTTGCATTTGGCTCCTTCACAAACACAGAAACAAGGTGAATCGTTCAGATGAAGTGACTCGGACTGAGTGAGAACGGCTTCACTTTCTGATGGATTCTCTTTATTGTGAACATCATTTACAGTATCAATCAGTACATGTACCTGTCACTTTATTTCAGTATGTTTCATCTGCCTGTCTTAATGATGTGAAACCGCCACAATGACATGAGCTCATAGACTGTGACTGATGAAGAACAAACCATGGAGAACAATGGAAACTGCTCTTTGAACTCCAGGAACTTTATTAACCCAGAAACACGGTTCACACTTTGAACAGCTCACAAGACTCTGAATTACATTTTACATTTTGTGCTTTTTATTATATTACTAATATTATTTTACCATCATATTATCACCATGTGAAAAAGTGACTGCACTCAGGAGTTTAGTTTTTGAATGAAAATACTATACTGACAAAATACGTGAAGTAAAAGTACACAATCTGCTGAATGACCCTTTAAGGTTTCATATTATTTTATATTTATCATTTAGAATATTGGACTATTGGATCATTATTATTATTATTATTATTGCTGCATTAACATGTAGCAGCATTTTAATCTTGAGGCTGGTCCAGATGTTGTGGATGTAAATTAACCTTCAAAGTAAAATCAGGTAAACACTGTGTGGAGTTTCCCTCTCAGACGTGCAGTAGAAGATTAAAGTAGCATAAAATGGAAATAAATTAGTGAAGTACAAATACCATAAGATCATGCTGAAGTGCAGTTCGGGATTAAATCTGTTCAACGACGTCACATCAGGAGATTATTAATTATTTCTGTCTGAAATCAGTTTTAGTTTAAAAGAAACACGGTGACGTCTGATCTCACATTCACTTTATGGTCAAACGTCCGTCTGATTTTACAACGTGACCATGTTTTACCTGTGGAGATCCAGAGAGTTGAAAATACCTGCGTGATGTTCTTAGAAATGAAAAGTGATTTCTATGTAAAGCTGTGACAGTCTCTCAGTCTGACCCACTTCACTTCCTCACAACATGAAGCTGCAGCTCCCACAGGACGAAGCTGACGGAGGTGTAGCGCTGGAAGTTTATGGTTGTGTTTATGTATTATTAGTTTTAATATCAGCACGGTTCCCAAACTGTGGGAAGGTGCTGCGAGAGGGCCGACAAATCATTTGCAAAACAGAACAATTTTGGTGAAAGATGTGATTAAAATGTTTTGTTTTAAAATGTTTAAAACCTCCTTCCGCCCTGACCGTCAGATCCAGTCTTCTCACCTGGTTTGACTTCCTCTGAGCAGCAGGCGAGGACACAGTCCCTCTCAGACCGGACCGCCCGTCCCTCCATCAGCGCCCCCGGTCTGTTCAGGGCCAGTCTGACGTTGACTCTGGCGCTCTGGTGCTGTCTGGAGAAACAAGTCTCTGGTTCCACGGCGGTCACGGGAAGCAATGTCAGCAGTATCACAGCGACGGCGGCGGCGAGCAGCCGGAGCGTCCGCGAGGGTGGACTGGACTCTGGAGGAAACATGGCTGCAGCAGATCCACAGTCTCTGATCAGAAACGCCTCAGTGTCCACAGGAGGAGAGCAGAGATCCACACGAATGACCTGCACATGGACAGAACATTAACACGGAGACAGATGTGGAGGGCACGTCTGCAGCAGGACAGATGTTTCTGAGTCGACTTACAGAAGTAAAAACTCTTAAATGTCTCTGTGTTCAGGTGCAGGACAGACGCCTGCTGTGACCGACTGATTACAGACAACAAAACAAGTCAATAATCAGACAGTCAGTTCACTCTGATTGAACTTAATGAGACGGAAAAAGACAAAAATAAAAACGTCTCCAGCCTCAAACTTGGAGTCTAAAAACTTAAAGTTAAAAAAACATGATGAAGACTTTATTTTGGACTTTATCTTTAAACCCTCATGAGTCGGTCTCACTGACGGCTCACTGTAGTGTCACCACTGATCTTCTCTCTGCTGTCCCTCAGTCCCTGACGTCTCTCAGCGACAACAATAGAACAAAAGGAACAGAATTAGAAACTGATCTGTGGAGTAAAAATGGAAATCTAAAAACAGAAGCGGCTCCTGAAGGAGCTTCTGTTTTTAGATTTCCATTTTCACTGAAGGTGAACGAGGTCAGTCGTGATTTTACACACTGAAGAGAAACTTGTTTAAATTCTGTTTTTAGTTTCATATTAAACCATGAAAGTTTGGAATCGAGCAGGAAATAAACGTCTCTGTTGGATTCAGACTCTGTTGTAGCTTCAGATTTCATTTAGAAACCTGAACGTGTTGTTTTAGAGCAGAGACTCACCGGGCCGACAGTGTGAACCGTCCTCCATCAGATGCTCAGCAGCTCTTTGGGTCCACAGTCCACAGAGCAGGACTTTAGCCCGTCTCCTGGGGGGACAGGGAGGTGTCAGTTCACCTTATCTTCTTTACAGCTGGAGCTATCTTACCCACTATCACTGGAAGCTTGTACACCGTGGCTCTTAGACCTCAGCACGAACATTATGTCAGTCAACAGTAAATAATAATAATAATAAACTTTACATTAAAGTGCTTTATATGAGAAAAAACACATTAAAACACTTCAGCACTACAGTTAAACATGATCTGGCAAAAGAGTACAGATACATAAAATCCTTAAAATACAATAAAATAAAACACAACAACAAAATAAAATAACAACAGTAATTCAAACCAATAAAGCCTTAGAAAGAGTGGTTTGACATAGAGGTCTTAACTCAAGGTCTACTTACTAGTTTTTTCTTGAGATTTCAACCACATCTCACAAACTTTCTGTGGAAACTGAACTGAGGAAGACTGTAAGAGGAGGTGAGAGCTCAGGAAAAAGATGGTAAGTGGACGTTTATTTAAGATTTATTTAGGCAAGTTAATATTTCTGTTGTAGTAACACATTCTGACAGAATATATTTCGAAACTAATTATGTTAATTACTTTAATTAAAAATATTATACCATATCAGATGATTTTCTAAAGTATTTGTATATTTCAGATTGATATTTATAATATCTTATAGCCTATAAATAATATTTGAAATCGTCTTATTGTTTCTTTAAGTCTAAAAACTTCTGCTTCGGCTTCTGTTCGGCGCCTGACCTTCATAAAACCGGTCGAACGTGTCGGTGTCGATTTCGCTGACAGGCTAACTGGAGGCGAAGTGAAGATTAACGGACGCACGGAGCGAAAAAATTCGATCTCGTCTGTGCGAACCCGAGGCGAAGACGCGTCCGTTGAATTTGATTGAGACTGAGGGAAGAACTTCGCCCTGAGTAGTTCAGTCATGGAGACATGAGAACGGAAGAGAACGAGGTACGGGAGATGGAATTTCTCGCTAACAAACGACAAACGTCGCCGCGGTCGCGTCGCTATATCGTTAGCTTGTTAGCCGTTTGTGGCTAATAAGAACTTGAGAGCACTTCTGTGGGCGAAAGCGAAGCTAGAAACCGCTTCGCGTTTAGTGTGAACGCACCGGGCACCGAGTCTGTGGGGACCGTTAGCTGAAGGCCGTAAAGCGACGTCAATAAGCTACAAGTCAAACACGGTGATAATAAACAGCTAACAGCAGCTAACGTCTGCCTTTGTGTAACTGTTCGCTTCTCGGTTCGTCCATGTACCACCTGCCGTACAAACATGTCGCTGCACTGGTTTTAATGGAGCTAATGTTACTGGGTAATTCAGCCTAAACTGGGACACAGAGCGGCGCGGTTTGATGTGGGTTAAACCCGGGTTTTATTTTCCCCCCACGGCTCCACGGCTCTACCTTTCTCTTCACCGAGGACGCAGATTAACTCGGCGCGGCATCCATCATCCATCCGTCGGTCGGTCGACGGTCAGAGGAGTCGGTGTCGGACTGGAAACTGGGAACCCACCGGCAGCAATCTCTATCAAACCAGTCAGTCCCAGTAAGAGAAAGAGAAAGCTTCACCCATCCCGAGAGGTCATGTTGATTAAAATAATAATTAAAAAAAAAAAAAAAAAAAAGAACCAAGTGGTGACACGATTCAGAGATTCTCCCAGATGAAGCGGTGTTTTTCTGGTTTAAATGCGGGATGATGAAGCGCTGTCCTCCGTCACCCACGGTCACATTTACGGGATAAAACGGTGTGTGTCGGCGGCATGTCGGAGCTGCTATCGGAGAGAGATAAAGCCCGTCAGCAGCTTCTGGTGTCTGAGGCTCCGGGATGATGAACTACATTACATGATGGCTGGTGCGGAAGATCTGCTTCTCTCCGGAGTCTGACCCATTTTAGTCTTTGTCCTCTGGTGGGGGGTGGGGGGGCTGGAGCCTGCATCCCAAAATCAGTCTCCAACACTGTCTAATTATTACCACTAATGAGCTTTAGAATAAATTCACATGATCATAAAATCAAAGATAAAATCCTCCTTATTTCTCCTTAGAAGCTTTAAATAAAAACCCCTGTTATAAGGAATTTATAGGCAGGTTCATCAATAATTGAAGATACTGAACATGAACAACACATTTGAAAGAAAAGCTTTTCTCCCCCGCATCAATTCACAGAAACTGTTACAGACATTTAATAAGACTGTTTTAAACCAGAGATAAATACTTTACTTTATTAAAGCCCTGCAGGTGTGACACATATAGAAGCTCATTAACGCCAAGAATAGAACAAATATGACACAAGTCAAAATGATGAAATATTAGGTCAAAGGTTTGACTATGTTTCAAATGTACGGAAGCCTGTTTCAGCCAAGAAAAAAAAGATATATATGCTGAAAAATAATAATAGTAATGAGATATAAGTAACATTTGTGATTGATGAACAGAAGTGTGATAACATTTTGATGTCCTAGGTGAAAAGTCTGAGCTTCACAAAGTCAAAAATAAAGTTTTCAAATCTATATCTGCAGGAAGCATGACATGCACAACTCTGTGAGTGACGACTTTCACATAAAGTCATCATTATGCCAACAAATGTCTGTATGGAAGCACAAGTCTGCCAGGAACTTGCTGATTCCCAAACTTTAACTCTAAACATCCGCAGTTAAAAAAAAATCCATAGCTCTGAGCAGATCTCTGGAGTGAACAGCTGATTCTGCTCTGACACCACAGGCAGGTTTGCTTCTGGAGAAATGGAACATTTTCCACTCATTCATTTTCAGATTGGTGCAGATTTATGCACAAAACAACTTTTCATGTTGAGCACCTCAAAAGATGTCGGTCATTTTCTGCCTCACTTAAAAAGTCGACATTATGAAATAATATCTATTAATATGTCAAAATAATTAGTTCCAAACCAAAATTATAGGATAAAAAGACTAAATTTGACCTATCTTATAAATTTGTTTTTTTATCTTCTCATTATTTATTTTTCTTTTGGCAGAAATGGGCTTCCATACATCCATGTAACTCTCAGACTCTTTGTTCCAGGAATTGTTTTTAAAATCTCACCTTGACTGACTCCAACAGGTGCAGACAGATTTTCATCCCTCTGGACACAAACTGTGAAAATCACAACTTTACCTTCAGAAACCAGTCAATCATATTTGAGCAGTCCATTCACAATCAGCTGTGTCCTAATTGTCCACTGGACTAAAAGACAGGACACTGCCTCACATCAACAGATAACTCTGTCCTCTCTTTATTCCATATCGGCCATCTCTACGTCCCCCTGCGATCCAGCTGCTTTCTTCTTCTTCTTCTTCTTCTTGGTTGGAGCTGAGGATGAGTCCTGTTTCTTGGGAGGTGGAGCTGCAGGTTCAACTGACGAAAGAAACATTTTACAGTTTTAATATCTCAGAAAAATCTGGTTTAAAAACTCTGAACTGTCTCAACATCTCTGTCCATTTAATAGTTTTATTTTTAGCCATTTGAAAATTAAAAATGTTTGACTAATTAAACTATAATGAAATGTCCATATTATAGAACCAACTGAAACAAAAGTCGTTGAACCCTTCGTTCTTTTATTTTGTTAATATTTTACGTGTCGACAAAATAAGAGTCGATCCTCCTGGGTATGGCTGATAGCAGTCTGACAGACGATTCTGTTCAGCTGCTCTTTGCCGAACAGGTTTTGTTTCTCCACCTTCTGCTTTAAAATCCTCCAGGTGTGTCACCTTGAAATCAGGGACACACCTGACCAGGTGATAGTTTCACCTTTTTCTTCATTACAAACTCTTGTGTAATATCTTCAGTGTGTTTGGGATCATTGTCATGTTGGAAATTTCTTCTCCTGCCGAGCTGCTTGAGACTTAGTCCTCTTTTTGTTCAGTATTTGGGTACAAACTTGCATTAACAGTCACATCTATTAATATCATCATTTTTAAATAACATATAGTTTATAGATTCTGAGAACTCTTTAAGAACAGTAGGGCAGTAAGGACAGGAGGACTGATCACTCACACCATCAGCATCTTAACATGGCTAACCCCATGTGTTCTGGTGTGAATGGAGATGTCGTCATTTACCTTCCATACCGGCCTTCTCCTGCTGCATGTGCTGCAGCTGCTTGAGCAGCTTCCGTTTCTTCTTTCCAGACAGAGTGATGTTCGCTCTCGGACTCGACCTGGAGAGGAGAAAAATGCAGATTTTAAACAATGTTTTTAATCAATAGTCCGCCATGTTAGGTTTCAGTGTGTGCAGGTGATAATCACTGACTTTCTCTTCTTCAGGTGATGGAGGGTGATGAGACCCTGATCTACCACGGCTCCGACTATCTGATGTTTCTTCCTCTTCTCTCGACTCAGGACTCGTCGCCGCTTGAAAAGCTTCTTCCCCAACTCCTGCAAAGAAACGACAGAGACCACTGATGTTCTCTGGGTGATAACAGTTCACAGAAAAACTATGTGTCAGCTCCTACACTTCAAGTCACTGCAACAGTAAACAGGTTTTCTACTGCACTGGAAACAAAAAGGACCAGACCAGGAAAAAAAGAGAAAAACTTCATCTTGTAATGTGACCCTGAGCCCAGCAGACTGATAACACCACAGGAAACGATCCATAGACCCAGTTTGTCTCTCGAGTCAAAGATAAAGCATCAATCTTTCTGGAAAACACTTACAACTGCTCTGAAGGGATTTCCAAGAATCTCAAAGACTAAGCTAGACAGACTAGACAGATAAGATTTAAGATATTTTTATTGTGTAGAACAAGGAGGGCGATACAGACTAATTTAACTAAAAACTGAGCCATTATTATGGAAATCAGTGTGTTGTTTATTGAATGATGATACCTAACTTGGTTTTTGTTTTACAAAAATAAAACAGACAAAAGTCTAAAAACTGAATCCAGATCATTGAATTTGAACTTTGTTTCTTCTTCATTCCCATGAATCATCTGATGACCTCTTACATTTATCTGGTGACCCTTAGTTTAGTCTGCTGGTTGAGAACCAGCAGCTACAACAGTAAAATGCTGCTGAAGTTTTGTACATTTCACATCACTCCAGTTAAAAACAGATTACTTGACTAATATTATATTTCACATATTAATACATTTGATGCATTGAAATTGTTGATTTCCTTTACACGAATTACTATAAAATTATGCTTAGAATAAAAAATACAATCATCATTTAATTTGATTTTTTTTTAAAAACGCTTGTATTTTACGTTCTGACCAGTAGGTGTCGCTCTGCTAACACTCAGCATATAGACATGAAGCTTTTTCTCTACCTGTAAATGTGTTTCATGAAGCTTCATCTCACCATCTCTAACTTTACCTACACGAAGCAGCTGACAACACTTCTGTACATTTACTTTGGCAGGAATCTGAATGCAGTACTTTTACTTGTAATATATTATTAGTATTATTAGCATTTTTACACTGAAGTATTTGTACTTTAACTTTAGTATTACTACTTGTACTTCGTATTTGTTGCAGCTCTGGTTGTGCACTGAGGTGATCTGACTGTCTTAGATACAGAATGAATAACAAACACGTTAATTATCTTAAAAGCTGTACGTTAATAACGATGACGTTACACACAGTGTTTACACTAGCCGTCCAAGCTAGCTGCTAACTGTCTCTCCGTGTATTGTTTAGCTCAGGTAAATCACACAGAACGTGCAGTTAGAGCGTCTTCTTTTCCCGCGCTTTGTCTCCGAATCTTTGATATTGATCAAGTTTTTCTTACAGTTTTCGGTCTGTTGATTTTCCCTCCTGGAGGAGACATGCTGCTGCTCTCACGTGGACACGCGCACGCTTCTTCTTCTGCGATTTAAATCACCGACACACTTCAGGAAGGACGGATCTGTACTGCCGCCATCATCTTCTTCTTCGGCTTTTTTTTTAAATGGCGGTGGTAACCAACGTTTAGGCGCATTACTGCCACCTGCTGGATAGATAGATAGATAGATAGATAGATAGATAGATAGATAGATAGATAGATAGATAGATAGATGCTATAACATTAGAGGCCCACACTGGAGCTCGGGGGATGTGAGGTGTGGACTGGTCTGGACCTGGTCTCAGCTGGTCTAGATGTGTGTTTTTTGTGTTTTCATAAATAGAACAAAAGTTTCACAGATCTGAATCTGTGTTTGAAACCTCCGGAATGTAAAAATAAAGGATGGTTATGTAGCAGAGCAGCTATGCTGAGGTCATGCCACTGATCCTGGATCAGCTGCTGATGTAAACTGTGTGGATGTTTCCCACGCTGACGGCTGATGGATTTCCCTGCTGCAGAGACCCAGGGGGAATATTGAGGACTTTTGACTCATTTCTCTCTGCAGCCTCCAAACTGAAACTCTGAGGACTGACCGGATTATAACAGCCTGTCTGTGTGTTTCTGCACATCTGGGCCCTCCGCTCTCGCTGTTCGGGATCTCCGTCCACCACAGCAGCTCAGATTCAGCCATAACAATAAAAGGATTCGACACTGTAATTGGCTCATTTTTCCTCCCTCCAGATAAATGTCATCCGGACTGAACTCCACTCAGGGAACAAACTCCGGTCCAGAAATCCTAAACAGAACCTACGACAGCGTTAACGATCTCTGACACAACATGAATGGACTCACGTTGGTTGAGTTCCTCCGAGAGTCTGGGATCAGTTTTACATGTCGGTGAAGTTTTGTTTTGGGCAGGATTCTTGGTGATTATTCATGCTCTTTTATTTGAGCTTTGGAGGAGTTTCAACTTTTCCTTTGATTTTAAGCCAGTCTGGAAATTAGGCCAAATGTTTTCAGGTTTTTTTTTAAGCTTCTTTCTCATCTGAACAAGAAAAGAGTTTCTGTGAGTTTTCAGACTCTCAGACTCTGCTGCTGACAAATCTGCTTCCAACTAAAAATGTGCCTCCTGTGTTCCCATTAGATTGAGAAAATATTAGTTACATCGCTGTAAAACAAAATCTAAAGCAACGTATCAGATTTAATTCTGGTGTTGGGGAGGCTTGAGCCACTGTGGGCTGAGAGTCAGCTCTGGTTAGCAGCGCTCAAGACGTGGTTGTTCAACCAGTGTCGGTACCCAGAGGTCTGGCCTGAGTCCAGTGGCATGACCGGCACAAGACAAGTCGTCATCATTTGGCTCTCATGAAGACTTGTCACAGCAAATTGCTATCCGTAATGGATTTGGCTCCTGACGCAACCTGGGTTTAGGGAGCCAGGGATTGAGCCGCCAATCTTGGGATCAGCAGTCAACCTGCTCTACCCCCTGAGCCATGGTCACCCATGACCACCATGACCTCTACCTCGAGGCCCTTTTACACAGTGTGATTCTCTGTTGTTTGAGGCGTAAGTTGACTCACGTCTCAAACGACCAAATCTGTCGTCCTCAGTCCAAAAAGGCGGTTCAAGATCCACTGACAACTGATTTGGAGACTAAAGACTAAATTCAGAAATTTAGATTTAAATTCTCACAGTGTGTCTGCTGCTACGACCAACAATTACAAACCAACCACAGACAACAAAGACGCCACTACAAACCTCTCAGTCTACTCAGTAATGAAACACAGTGGACCTTCCCACCATGACACAAACACCTTGAAGATATTAGCACCGCTCCTCCACACCCACGTGTATTTCACTTGTTTCGGGAACTTTCTGAGACTTTACAGGAACGTTCTCTTCCAGTTGGATCTTCAGTCTTTGTCCAGCTGACTCACCAGTTATCTCTCTCTCTCTCTTTCTGTCTCTGTCTGGCTCTCAGTGTTATTAATGTTTGTTTTGGCTGGTTGGATGTTGAAGCTGCTGCTGCTTGAATCCTAACATTAACACCGTCAACACCATCAGCACCATCAACACCATCAACACCGTCATCTCCGGCGCTCGGCTCCTTCCCCTCGATGTCTCTCAGCTCTCCGACCTGCTGCCAAACCAAACTTGTCCTGTTGTGAAGCTGCAGCGGTGGCAATTATTTTAATGGCTGTTAGCGAAGCCAAATCCCTCTGAACTCATTCTTCAGCCCGGAGCTGTTGATCATCTCTAACTGAATTCTGGGTGGAATTTATGATGACAGGTGGTAATTTGTTGACAGTTTTGCTCTATTGAGTGGAAAGTTGTAATTTTCTTTCCTGCTGTATGTGCAGAAGTCTAAAAAAAAGCTGCCGTGGAGGGTTTGAAATAGAGGAGAATGATCACCCAGCTGATGTGGAGAGTTGATGGTGAATAGACAGAATACAGGAGCGATGAAAACCTGCAGATGAAGACAATATGGTGGTTTCTGGAGGGACTTTTGGTCCCTATGACCTTTATTTTACCAGGACTTGGTAAAAGGGTCAACTCCATGCTTAATGAATGTCCTGAGGTTCCACCATGGGGGCATTTGATTGGGCCTGGTTCCCCCTCAGAGTTTATAATAACCACTAGGTACTGTTAGGTTAGTTAATAGTAGTGAGTAGTTTTGTTTTAGTGTGTCCGACACTTAAATACCACAAATATTTTATGAAGTATTATGTTTATACATTTGTATGTGGAGTGGCTTTAAAGGATATCATAATGGGACGGGGTTAGTCATTTTATTGCGTCCACAGATGACTGATGCTCTAACATTACTGGCTGAAAAGAAATCTGCTGAGTGATGTGTTTCAGTCTGTGTTGGAAACATGTTTCAGTCCAGCTTTCGGTTTTTGATCGTCTGTCAGTGGAAACTTTCAGAGTGCTGGTGTGTCGAGCTGCTTGTTTCTGAACCAGCATGACTCAGCCTGGTGGAACCTCACTCATTTAATGTGAAGAAGAAAGAGGCAGAGTTTCTGTTTAAAGTCACAGAGGAACTGAGAGAATCTGCTGAGGGTCGAGGTCTGTGAGCAAATCCATATCAGTATTGTCATAAAAGTTACTGGAAGTTGGTATGAATGACTTTTTCAGTATATTTGTTCTGGCCAGAGGGTTTTCACAAGGAGTTTACAAGGAGTTATGAAGGGGGTGTGAAGGGTCCTGATGAGGGTTGAGATGATGATAGGACCTCAGCTATCTACAGTCACAACCAAGGTAACTAAAGAGTCACTAAAACGTCTCTTGCATTGATTATTTTCATTGCCTTTTTTATATCCGAGATGTCTGAGACCAAAAGTGATGATTCAGTTCCTGGCACAGACAATATGAAATGACAAATACATGAAAGTGTCGCTCTGTGACTGCTAGATGTGAAAATAGTCATCTGTTTGCTAACATGCTAGCAACAACAACCAATGTATAGAGTTAAGGAGGTTATGTAATGTATACTTGAGGCTATGGTGTAATATTTAAACCCACTTAAAACAAACTACAGAGGACCCAGGGTGGACCCTGGGGTACACCACAACTCCGAGCTTAAGTTAGAGTTTGATGTAGAGCTGCAATTAATGATTATTTTCATCAGTTAATCGTGCTAATTATTTTCTTGATTAATTGATTATTTGTATTATTTATAAAATGGTGTCTCTATAAGGTGACATCTTATTTTTGTCCAAAATCAAAAGATATTCAGTTTATACTGATATAAAACAGAAAACTGTGACATCTGAGAAGCTGCAACCTGAATATGATAGATGAATTTTTCCTTAATTTTTTTGTCAGTCAACTAATCAATTAATCAACTAGTATGAACCCTTCAGTTTATTTTTCTGCCCCCTGGTGGCCAAAAATTAACAAATGCAGCTTTAAGTAAAGGATTTAAGTTATTTCATTACTTCACTGGAGATGAGTAGAAAATTATGACCATCCAATTTTCAGTAGATTTAAAAACTTACAGGAAACAGACAATTTTAAGCATCAAGTGAGATGTAGAATAGGACCGAGGACAGAACTGATGTTTCACTGTGAATTTAATGCGACATCAAAGACACAGAGACAGAGGAGTTACTGTCAAATGTTTAATCCGTTCAGTACAGGGTGTTTATCTCAGTGCAAGTGCCAAAAACAACAATATCGAGCCGTGTTTGGTTTATGTACAAGTATGAACGTTTGCATTGAGAAGCAGAGCGGGCTGTGGAGGAAACAGAGACACTGAAGGCAGCAGGAGGGTCCGACACAAAAAGGTGAGACAACGAAACAAAACATCTGAAAAACAGCAGCAAAGAAACAAAAAAGTGGACGTCTGAACAGAGCGAAGGGTAAAGAATCAAACGGAAAAGTAACACAGAATGACGACTGTCGTTTTTTCTTCATTTCAATCAACCACAAAAACAAGTCAATGAACAAAATTAATGGTATATATATTTATATTTATATATCTAAAGTGCATTATGGTACAAAAATATAGAGGGTCAGCAGCACCTCGATACATTTACAAAATAAATACACCATTCAGACAAAATAAATTACCGCAAAAAAATCTGACATAATTGGAATAAAAAAGAAAAAAGCAAGGATTCACAAAGATTAAAATCTGTTGCCCCACAGAGCATCAAATAAGTTTTTTTTTTTTATCATATTCTGCTATCTATTCTGCTATATTTAGAATATTTACAGACAATAAATATTTTCCAATTTCTTTCCAAATAATCACCATTACAGACGACTGTAACATGAGTATTTAGGAGTCCACTCCAACTGTCCGTAGGTTTCTGAAACACAAGCAAAGACAGGAAGAGACGGGTTAGATCAGCACTTTATTTTAATTTGATTTGTGTCTTGAAACATACAGAAGCATCAGCATCAGTAAAAACACATGATGACATTATAACATATAAGAAACCTTTGTGTTACGTGGATGCACAACCTCTTTTAAAATGAAAACACATCAGTTTCATCCTTGTGTCCGTTTGTTTTGAGAGCAGCGCTGTCGTAGTGTGTGAAGGCCACAAGAGGCGCCAACAAAAACTGATGAGCTCATTTCAGAAGCATCTGATTCAAAGAAATGAATCTAGTTCTGGATGTTTAGGTTGAATGACGTGTCATGTGACCTGACTCTATAGACACTGTCACACAGTGTAAATCATCATGATGCAACACTTCGACCCGTGGACTCACCTTTGTCAGAGACTGACAGCGTTTAAAGCAGCGCCCTCTGCAGGCCGAGCAGAGACCTCCACTCCAGGTGGAGTCCACTCCCGGGTTCGTCCTCCAGCCTCCACCCCAGTGAACGTGCCCTCCTCTTCCTCTTCTCTCCTTCCCTCCTCTTCCCGGACCTCCCTTTCTTCTTCTTCTTGCCGGGCGCTTTGAGGACGCCGTCTTTGTATGTCTGAGACTTGTTGGTCTCCTGCGGCAGGTTGGTGCCCTCCTCCTCCTCCAGCCTGAAGGTGATGGGGAGGTTCTTGGTTCCTCCGGGCGGTTTGGAGTGCAGGGTGCTGCCGGTGGTGCTCAGGTTGATGCCCAGGCTGACCCCAGGCAGCCCGACGCCGGCGCCACTGCTGCTTCCGCCTCCTCCGGTGGTCCGGACGGGAAGGTCGCGGATCTCCGCCGTGTGGACTTCATCCAAAAGCTCCTGCAGCCACATGCGACGCTTAAAGTCCTGCAGCGTCCGACCTTTGTCGTGCATCAGCTGAGCGTGAGTCACCGAGCGCTTTCTGCAAAACACACAAAGAAGAAGATTCGACTCAATTAAACAATTAACATTCACATGTTATAAATGCAGGATTTTCATGCTTTAGATTCGTTGAAGAAAGAAAAAGGTTTTCAGTTTTACGTTTAGTTAAAAGTTTGTGGACACCACTCATGTCTACTAATGTAGTGTGATACAGACTCAGTTGGATTTAGGAGGTTTTCTTGATGCACCAGCAGAGGGCAGTATGAGAGAAAGAATCAGTGTGTGAGTGAGTGAAGGAAACAGCAGCTGCAGAAGTTTAACAGCAACAAAAAAGATGAATTTTATGAAATTTTTTTGGCTTCTTCCTTTTTATTTTCATCCATTTAAAGACATTTTTTGTGTCTAACATTTAGATAAACTGACAGATCTTTTCTTTGCTTCCGCTCACCCTCTCTTCACTCTTCAGTCACAGAGGTTAAAAACTTTGGACAATATTCCCCAATAACTCAGCTGTTGCATTCATGCAGTGAAATGACATGATTCATCGAACCGCAGGAGCTGAGCTGGTTTCCAGGGTTGTTAAAACTGATACAGAAGATCTCCGCCCTGCCGGAGGAGGTCCAGATGAGTTTTCTCTCTTTTTCTTTTTCACAGGAAAACGCCAGTTTTCCTTCTGATTGTTCATTATTACGATGTGAGCAGAGCAAAACCTTTGGCCCTTCACTTTTCATTAATGTGGATGTTAACTGGCAGATTCATGGCGCTCAGGGCCAGAGACGCTACAAAAAAATTAACTGTGGTCCAAACAAAAAGAAAAGACTTGGGGCTGAACTGTGATTTCTGATTTTCTAATGAAACTGACTCCAAACAGTCACAGAGGAAAAACCTTTTATTTTTTTAATATGTTCTAATGTGCATCTGGATCCAAACCTGGTCTGAATCAGACACAGTATTAGTTTGTTGATTTTGGGGGAATATTTAAATCATGTCAGGTGATATCTGAGCGGCAACATCCCAATACAGACCTGAGCATTCGAAGTAGTTATGTTGTTGTAGCGCCAACTACTGGTGAGTGATCTACAGATTATATGTGTACACAAATTAAATTAAAATGAAAACTGGAAAGAAATTTCTTTGTACAAATAATTAAATGCAAAAAAAATGATATATCTAAATATAAATGACGTCATAATGGTCACAAGGTGGCGCTATCTGCACGAAAAAACCCAGTTCTTCTTCTGCTGAAATGCATCACATATTTGAAATGTGACTCATTAAGTATTAATCTGTTGCTATAGCGACATCTACAAGTCAAACATCATGATGTGTTGCAGGGAGCTTCCTGCATGAACTTTAGAAAACATGTGTAGGCCCCAGCGAGATTTGAACTTGCGACCCCTGGTTTACAAGACCAGTGCTCTAACCCCTGAGCTATGGAGCCCTGTGTTGCTCTGTAGGCCACACCCACAGAGCGGTGACCACCTACTGAGGCACCGACATCACTATAAAACTTGAAATGTTCAAAAATGTGTTCAGGTGGAAAAACACGACATTAATCATTCAGAATCATCTGCAGGGAAATTTAAGACGACGCTGATTCATCATGACACTGTGGCACCACCCACAACTCCGTCACCACACTCAGCAGCATCCGTGGGTGGTGGCATGTGCACACGTCTCCAACTGAACTCTAAAGATGAAAGATTTATCACTGAGGGAAGGTCTGAAAACAGAGAGAGGCCCCAGCGAGATTTGAACTCGCGACCCCTGGTTTACAAGACCAGTGCTCTAACCCCTGAGCTATGGAGCCCTGTCTCCACCGGGCCAGGTGGTGGTGCTGTTGCCACACCGGACACATCACATCACTGGCATCAACACAGCTGGGATCACAACCGGGACAAAGTCATCTGTCCGATAAACGTGACGGACGCGACTGAGATTAATAAAAACATGAGTTCATCACAACGGATGTGTGAGAGCTGCAGAAGAAGAGGGGACGACTCCGGCTCTGATTCTGACCAGATGGACCGACCTGTTATCTTTCCCGATGCAGCCGGAGCAGCAGAAGGATTCGGGGCTTTGCTTTGCCGCGGTGTCGCGTTACTCAGTCTTAACTCTTAGACAAACAGAGAGGCAGAGGGCACGGCTCGAAGCCTGGGAACCGCCGGGCGCCAACGCCGGCCAAACACTTCAGGTGTCTGAGCACACAAACACGCCCGCTGCAGTGGGAGATACCGGCAGCTGATTAGAGCTGTCAGAGTTTCCCATGATGCCCTCCTCCTCCTCCTCCTCCTCCCCGCTCTGCGGAGGTCAGTTTCACCCGGAGGCCGTGCAGCTCCTTAGACCTGAGTTACCGTTTGATCTGTTTCACCTGTCGACCGGCGGCAGACGAACAGAGACGAGACGCTCGATAAAATCTCACTCAGCTCAACGACGTCAGTGAAACAACACAACACAGAGAGAGAGCAGCTTCTGTTTATATGCTTACACACACACACACACACACACACACACACTGGCTTTGAAAACTGATCTGCTTCTGTTTTTACCTTCAATATAACGAACATCAAACAGTTTCCAGCGAGAGGGAGGGAGGAGGAAAAAGGCCCTGATACATCCTGAGGTGGCAGCGGTCCAGCCCCC